GTATATATATATATACATTTTTTTTCATCTCTCGCCCAAAACAGATCCCAGGATCAACATCAGACATCTCAGTCCAGAAATGTGCAGTTCTAGGCACAGCTAAGATACTGCGCAGAACCCTCAAGCTCCCAGGCCTCTGGTAGAGGACCCGAGCTCAGAGGATGAAAGAGACCACCCGCGGAGGGTGAGAAGGGATTTTTTTTTTAATTTTATACACGTGTGTGTGTATATATTTATTAAACCAACAAACAGTGCAGCAGCTTAAAATTGTTCATGCTCAAATGCATGTGTACCTCTTGTTTCATAAATATGAATAAAAATGATTGAACCAAATGAAAGATAAACACTTTGGCGCGCTAAAGTGCAGCAGCACAAGACGCCTTGTGTGCAGACTCCTCATGTTTCTGGTAAAAATTTACTGTTTATGTGACTTTAGTAATCTCATATTTAGCTTTGTGCAACGTGTTGTAGTGACGACTTATACAGTAATAAAGTCCTTTTATAGTGGACAGCGTTTACCTTGAGATTCCATAAAGAGTCGACCTCCCAAAATAAAAACGTTTCTTTAGTCCCGCTCATTGGCGGGCCTGACAGGAGTTACCTGCAAGCCACCAGTTGCCCAACCCTGATCTAGTTTATTTGTTATTTTCTAAACACAGCAGCAGAACTATGTCTGCAGTGTTTGCTTACAGATTGTCATAATGCATTGCAACTTCCAGCTCACTCATCAGCTCATACCCAACTATATTTATCCACATTAGCTACGCAAGCTGAATATTAATGTGTGTTCTTGATTGCGTTTACGAGCATGCTGTTGGCACACGCTGGGCTGTAATCAATGAGAGATGAGTGAGGTGAAATGATGAGTAATTTTAGTGAAAATATTAGATCTCAGGCCAACTGTTCTCTGGAGTCAGAAACTAATTTTCTCATTCTGACAGCTCCTATCACTCATCCTCGTCTCTTTGTTTTTTTCACCGTCCTCCTTTTCTTTATTCCTCCTTTTTGCTGCTCACCCTATGTCTGCTGATTCTTTAGCCTCCGCGAGCTCTCTGGGTTGCTCAGCATGAGTCTAAGTTAATTTACACAGATATGAGTGAGTGTGTGTCAGATCTCAGTCTTCATTCTTGCCTCCGTCTGCGTTTGATGCGCAGCGGTGGAATTTTTAAAAGTGATGGGCTGTCACTCTGCCTGCTTACCTGCTGCTGGTTTTATGTGAGAGGCTCTGAGGTGTTTTCTTCCTTTTCTCTTCCTCTCGTGTCACTTTCCTCGTTCAGTCAAAAGCGTATTTTCCTCAAAGTTCGTTCTGCTCTGTCTTTGATCGCTGTCAATGGTTTTTTGTTGTTTGTAAAATCTCAAACTTCTCATCCTCCTCATTATCCCAGGATGCAGGAAGTCAACAGATTGGCTTTTTGCTGGGCAGCTGTGGGGTCACGTTGGCACTGACCACTGATGCTTGTCAGAAAGGCCTGCCCAAAGCTCAAACAGGAGAAGTAGTCACTTTTAGAGGTACAGTCTTTTTTGGTTGCGTTTTTTTTTTTGTGTGTTCATTTTTTTATTTGGGCGGGGGCTAATTTAACAAAGGATTTTTATTTATCTCTGCAGGTTGGCCAAGGTTGCTGTGGTTTGTGACCGATGGAAAACATGTTGCAAAGCCTCCAAAAGATTGGTACCCTTCAATACGAGAAGCCAGCAACGATATAGCTTATATAGAAGTAAGTGCACTTTCAGCAACAGTAACAAACACCTGATTTTATTTATTTATTTATTTTTTGTCTTATGTGATGTATTTAGTGATTATGAATATTTTAAAACCCTGATTTAAACATAATTCTGGTTTGTGAAACATCAAATGTGCTTTTCTGTTTTTTCAAACTCAGTATAAAACCAGCAAAGAAGGAAGCACCATGGGAATCACTGTGTCTCATTCAACCATGTTGGCTCATTGTCAAGCCCTCACACAGGCCTGCGGCTACACGGAAGGTGAGGACGACTCTGCATACTACGAGTTACTTAGCTTTTTACCAGACCAGCCGTTTTCTTTATTACTTATTCATTACCCTGACATGGATATTTAAGGAAGAGAGTAGAACGATGACCCCAAGAGACACAGGCTGAAACCAGCCTCAGAACTTGTAAAAATATTCAAGAAAATACCACGAAAACAAGATGCAGACGTAAGGTTCTTTTTATGTCTGCGTTTCTTTTTGATACAGCAGATCAGAAATCACAGCTCGCTCATTAAATAAGCCTATTTTAATATGTATTACATAAATCCCTACATAATAAAACAGATCTCCTACCCTCTCAGGTGTGGTCACAGTTTGATAAATGTGGCTTTTCAGTTGGTTTTGTTTCAGTCTGTCAGACCTGGGTTCGCACTGTTGAAAAAGAACAAGAACATAAAATACTTTTTCTTCCTCCAGTGACCTGGTTTTGCTCTAAATAGCTCCTAACGGCACCAGTAGACTCAGATCTGTTTCTGAAACTTAATTTGGAACCTGCAATTTCATTCTTTTCCGCTGCAGAGATTACTCTGAATATTACAGACCTTTATGTTTGTAACTGTAATAGAGGAATGAATATTTTAGATGAAATGCATCCAGTTGTGTTTATTGTACTCATCTAAACACAGTATCTTTTCTGCTCTTTTTGATTTGTAGCTGAGACCATAACAAATGTCCTGGATTTCAAGCGGGAAGCAGGCTTATGGCACGGTGTTCTTACTGTAAGTTGTCTCCAAACTCTCTAATAAATCCAAGAGAATGGGTCTATAGAGTCTGCTTTCCAAACTCCAGACAGTCACTAACTATATATGTTGAATATATTGGTAAATATATCAAATAAGTCAACAAAAAAATGTCCAAAATAACTAGTAAGTAATGCTCAGTTTGCTGATAGGAGGTCGGACTTTTATGAATCTTGTATGAGAGCTTTATCAAAATGCAAATTAATTCAAACTAATAGTCCTAAAGGCCAAAACCATCCCGTCTCATAAATGAGTTTCAGTCTTGTAAACAAAAAGAAAAACTGCGTCTCCTAACACACAGACAACATCGATTTGTTTGACTGGTTTCAGACACGCCAGAGATTTTACACATTACACATGACATGCTGCTGCTTGTCTAGATTCCTACACTGACAGCACTGAAGCCAAAAACAAGCACATGTTTCACTCTTATTAGAATCTTGTCATGAGCCATTTGTTTATGGCAACATCATGCACAATAATTGGAAAGCCCTTCTGACATGTAGCTTATCTGATGTTTGTTGCCGCTCTCGTGGCAGAGTGTCATGAATCGGATGCACGTGATCAGCATTCCTTACTCCCTGATGAAAGTCAACCCCCTGTCTTGGATACAGAAGGTTCACATGTACAAAGGTAACTTGAATTTTGTCATTAATTACTCTGTTTGTTGCAGCTTGAATATATGAAGAAGGATTTGCAATTTTTATTTTATTAGTAAGTTTAAAAATCTTGGCCCCAATGTTTGATTTTAACCTTTTTCTAACACCTTAGATTCTCACTGCAAATTTGACATAGTTGGATCGATAAAAGCAATAATTTGTCAGTTTTGTGGAGGGAGATAATCTGATCCCGTTGAGACATAAAAATCCTCCAGCATGTGTTTCGACTTGTGTTGAGTCACCTTTTGACACCTGATTCTGACTTTGCTGTCAGATGTTATATCCTATGATTAGCTGTCAACTTGGATGAAAGTGCTTTATTCCATTGGTGATTCTCTGTGTTTGTGTCACCCACGTAGCACGGGTAGCTGTGCTGAAGTCGCGGGACATGCACTGGTCTCTGCTGGCCCAGAGAGACCAGAGAGACATCAGCCTGAGCTCACTGAGGATGCTGATCGTAGCTGACGGAGCTAACCCATGTGAGTGCATCTGCAGAGACACGTTCAGTTAGAAACAAACAACTGTGCCTACTGGACGTTAGGATTTGTTTGCATACTGATTTGAATGGCTCTGTGTGTGTCACCGCAGGGTCGATATCCTCCTGCGACGCTTTCCTCAATGTGTTTCAGTCACGTGGGCTCAGACCTGAGGTGATCTGTCCCTGTGCCAGCTCCTCAGAAGCCATGACTGTCGCCATCCGCAGGTCAGCCTCTGCTACTGCCACCGTTTTGCATTACTCTGTTTTTATTGCGCCGTGTCTGCAACATCAGCTGCATCCTGCAGGAAGGAAATTAGATTTGTTCTTCCATACGGCGCTGGTGTGGATTTACAGCTTTCAGCTCAGTTGTAGAGGAGGATTAGGATGAGAAACAGACCAAAGAAGCAAGCTTCAGTTGAAGAAATCTCAGTTTCTTGTGCTCGTCAGAATTGTTTAGATTTATATAACAATGGTAAACTGTAATTTATGGTTTAGTGCAACAAAATAAACACATTTAAGAAGTGAGAGAATAATACTTGTCTTGCACCTGAGCTGTTGGATTTAAGCAACTGTGGCTCCCTGAGCAATTTAGTTGAATAGCTCTATATAGATCTCTCAAAATCAAAGTTGTAAAGTAACTAAGTTCAAATACTTTGTTACTGTACTTAAGTAGAAATTTTGGTTATCTGTACTTTACTTGAGTAATTATTTTTCAGCGTACTTTTTACTTTTACTCATTACATTTTTACACAATTATCTGTATTTTCTACCCACTACATTTTAAAAAAAGGTAAGAAGTAGAAAGTCGTTAACACTTATTTTATTCTGAGTTGTTATTACTTAAAAAAATACTATCCTGATAAATAGTGTCTCCTGGATAGAGTGAATTTAATTGTGCTTGGATGAGAAGTATAAATATACACCATTCTGACACTATTAGCTTGTACACAACCCATCACAGCTGCACGCCGTTAGAAAAATATTTTTTGGAGAAGTCACCTCCCAATAAATGTCATTTTGGGAAATCTATTTGCTCACTTTTACTCAGTACTTTTACTTTTAATACTTAAGTAGATTTTGTGTCAGAAATTTACTTTTGATACTTAAGTACAGAAAATATATACTTTAAGACTTTTACTCAAGTAATATTTTTAGAGAAGACTTTAACTTTTACCAAAGTATTTTTATGATAAGATACTTGTACTTTTACTCAAGTATCACTTTGAGGTACTTTATACAACACTGCTCAAAATAGCTGCTTTAAAGCCAGCATTGACCTTAAACTACCACTCCTATAATGCATGTTGATTATGTATGGGAATTCCCTGTCGTAAAGTGGGAGAGTTCAGATATCAGGACATACCAAGAGGACGTGTTAAAACACTGTTCCTATGCAGGAAATACCACGTAGAGCTCAATTATTGATTATTAGCAGTGTTCATTCGTAGCAATGAGATGAGGAATGTGATCGTGCTGATCTCCGGCAGCAGTGGACAGCCTTGTACGTGTCGTTTTAATGTTCAGAAACAAGTGTACTGCTACCACAGTAATGTGTGTTTATGTGTCCTACAGACCTCCAGAAATGGGTGTTCCTCCTCCAGGCAAGGCCGTGCTGTCCATGAGTGGTCTGAGTCACGGTGTGATCCGCGTGGACACGGAGGAGAAACTCTCCGTCCTCACAGTGCAGGACGTGGGACAGGTCCTGCCTGGAGGTACAGGCTGCCTGTTAAACTTCCATCAATGAGCTCAGTGTTGCAGACGAGGAAGAGATTTGAAATACTGATACTAGATGTATCATTCTGAGATCTTTTATATGACTGCCTCCTTTATTATAAGAACTGTGGAGCCTTTTTTTTTTTTTGCCTGAACCGTTAAAACCCTTCTTGTGTTTCTGTTTTGCATTTGCAGCTCTTGTTTGCGTGGTGCGACTGGCAGGTACGCCTTATCTCTGTAAAACAGATGAGGTTGGAGAAATCTGTGTGAGTTCAGGTTGCAGTGGTTTAGCGTACTACGGCCTCCCAGGCATGACCAAGAACATATTTGAGGTAAACACATACTCAGGTGTAAGTACGCTACTGTAACGCTTAAAATGATATATTTCAGCTTATTAAAAATATGCGCTTCTGGATAAATTGTTGGCGTTTAATAACAAAATCTCAAATAAAATGCAAAACTCTTCCCAGGGATTATAGTCGTCATAAGATCTTATCCAAAGTTATCTGCTAATAATACAGTTCTAATTTCTTGGGTACATTTTATTTGGAAGAAGTGGTATTTTCTGTGTTTTTGCTGGTAGATGTAAAGTTTTAATAGTGCTGCGTTTTATTGCAGACCATCCCTGTAAAATCATCTGGGGTTCCTATAAGCGACAGACCTTTCACCAGAACCTCGCTGCTGGGCTTCGTGGGACCAGTAAGTTCCACCTCATTAAATTTGAGGGGGTTTATGACACTTTTGTACTTTTACGTCTGTTAGCGCCAACATTTTCCATCCTCAACCCTTTCTGGTGACCGTTTTGTGCTCTGAAGGACACAGAAATAGTCATGAATATCACAATAAGATAACATTAAGGTTATTTTTAACGGGTTAATCAGCAGCCTTTTGGTTTTTTCTGTGCAGAATCTAAATGTATTCTCTGTTTCCTTTCAGGACAGTCTTGTGTTTGTTGTCGGGAAGATGGATGGACTCATGGTCGTCAGTGGGCGGAGACACAACGCTGATGATGTGGTCGCCACGGCTCTGGCTGTAGAGCCCATGAAGTTTGTGTACAGGGGAAGGTAAGGGAGGAAGCAGCTTGAAAACATCGAACTACGTTTCACCTGTTTGTTAAATCAGGAGTGTATCTTGAGTTTTACCAGGTTTTAGGTGATCTGAGCAGCTTTGTTTTGTGTTTGTGTTACCTCAGGATAGCAGTGTTCTCTGTGTCTGTGCTTCATGATGAGAGGATTGTTGTGGTGGCGGAGCAGAGGCCAGACGCCTCAGAGGAGGATAGCTTCCAGTGGATGAGCCGCGTCCTTCAGGTATGAAACACCAGGGGGAATTAAATACAAGAGTGAGAAAAAAATCCTATGTTAGAATAGGAATAAAATATGTTTATCACGCAAAGAAGGAGTGGTTGTGTGTCAGTGTGTGTGCGTGCACGCTGCTGTGTTGCGCAACCGGCTCATCCATCCATTCTGAGTCTGAAAATATTAACTTTGCGCATGAGTTTATTACCATAATTACTGTAAACACAGAGGAACTCAGATGTTTGGTAGAAGATAGATCTTTGTTTATTTAAAAGCTGATATGAAGAAACGAGTCTCTGCGCCTCAGTAGAGGTCACATGACGTGACGTGATGTTGGAGAGTCTCCACAAACGCTGCGCACGTCACAGCCTTTGTGCGCAGTCTGTTTGTCTGTCAAGCTTTTGCTCTCCTACTTACAGCATTTTCACAAGTTGTTAAGTGTACTTTCACGTGTCATTTTGGAGAAATCTACAACAACATAAACGCCAACTATGAAACACCTCCACTGCTGGCGAGGGTGCACGCGCTCGAGCGCGACCATAACTCAGTTTTTAGAATCATATGGATGAGACCATTCCATTGGACATGATTCGGCTGTGGGTGGACTGGACCGGCACAGTCCCAATCGGCCCGCCAGCTCCCTCTGAGAAGCTCCTGTGGAACCCCAGTTTAATCGCTGTTGCTGCTGCATGTGCGGCGCATGGTTCCTCGCTGTGTCGCGCTCCCAGAGCACAGCAGTGCCAAACTGAAAAAGGATTATTCCTGAAAAGGGCTGATGAACCAAAATTCTGTTTTAAATAAATGCTCTGCGTGTTCCACTATTTACTATATCCTCCAGTAAGGCTGAATCTGTTCCTGTTAAATGTATTTTTGGCAAAACTTTGCGCGTCCTTTATTTAACTGCCTCCATGTGGATGTAATAATTGTTAATCATGTGTGTCTGGTRTGAACAATAATCATTTTCACATCACGAACAATTTCTCAGAATCACCTTTAAGTGTCGCCAATGGACCCAAAACCACAGAAACGTGCCAGGCATGGGGCTGCACACATTTCCACGTTCATTTCAGTTTTCATACATCCAGAATTTTGCATGGAAAATGGTGTACGCAAGGTTTTAGTGTGTACGCACCAATGACACATGAGGCCCCCCGGGCGTGTCCCACTGGGAGGAGGCCCAGAGGAAGACCCAGGACACGCTGGAGGGACTATGTTTCTCAGCTGGCCTGGGAACACCTTGGGATTCCCCCAGAGGAGCTGGCCCAAGTGGCTGGGGAGAGGGAAGTCTGGTTATCTCTGCTTAGGCTGCTGCCCCCACGACCCAATCCTGGATAAGCGGGAAAAAAATGGATGGATGGAAAATACAAATTTAATGTTCTTGCATGCTTTTAAGAAACATACATACCCTAAAAAAATCAAGTTATGTCAAGTTGGGTAAATGTAACAAGATTTGACTAAACTTGGTTAATTCAATTCAACAAATCATTTTTTGAGTGTTGTGTGTGAAAAATAGGATTGAATTTAAAATTTGTAATTAGTCTAGCTAAAAATAAACATGTTTTTCTAGGTTTTGTTTGTAATCTGACTTGTATATTTACAGACTATGTAAATATCAAACCTTGCGTGTTTTCAGGCCATAGACAGCATCCACCAGGTCGGGGTGTACTGCCTGGCTCTGGTGCCTGCCAACGTTCTTCCTAAAGCTCCTCTGGGTGGGATCCACATATCTGAGACCAAACARCGCTTCCTGGAGGGATCCCTGCACCCTTGCAACGTTCTCATGTGTCCTCACACGTGTGTCACTAACCTCCCCAAGCCAAGACAAAAACAGCCAGGTAAACCCACCTGTGTCATGTTTAGAGCCCRAGGATCAAACCGTCCTGTTTCATGTCGCTGCGTGGCTTATCTTTTTTTTTTGTTGATAACTTGTTTAACGCGTACGCTGATGGTTTGGTTGTGCCGCACAGAGGTTGGTCCTGCTTCTATGATAGTGGGCAACTTGGTGGCGGGAAAGAGGATAGCACAAGCCTGTGGGAGAGACCTGGGACAACCCGAGGACAATGATCAGGCACGTAAGGTAGATGGTCATCCTCATTTCACCCACGCTGCACATGTACACAGCAGACGCAGGTAAGGATCCATATCTGAGGCAGTAAAATCTGAGATCGACACCTGCTAGGATCAGCTTTTATCCTTTATAGTAAAACTAAAAGCACAAGCGTAGTGTTATGYATCTCAGATTCTTACTCCATCATCCATTGCCATCTTCATGTACACTGAACCCTGTCATGTCTACCATCTGCCTGAATTTAAACAGCTTGTGCTTAAATACCACCTGTATAAAAGCCATTTTATGTTGATGTTTTTCCCTGTAGTTAAACCTGTGTCTGTCTTTGTCCAATAGTTCCTCTACATACATGATGTACTGCAGTGGAGAGCTCAGGCAACTCCAGACCATCCTCTGTTCCTGGTTCTCAATGCTAAGGTAAAGATCTTAGTCACCTTAGTAAGTAAACTTTTTACCTGGTATATATGTGTTTTTATTTTCTGATTACTTAATCTTAATTAGCTACACACGTATACTTTCAAAGAATTTCAAAAAGAAAGAAATGGCAAAATATTTACAATTATTTTGAACACAATGTTTATAAAACTGTTGCATCATTTTTTAGCTCTCTTTTCAAAGGTTTGTAAAGGAAAACATTTTTACAAACAAGCATTTTTGCTTAAAAAAGCATATTCTGATGAACTAACATGTTTTATTGGGTGTTTTTTAAAGAACTCCATTATTTTTAAGTCCTTTTTTTGCAGGGCTGCTATCAGGGAGGGTCTAGAGGGTTCAGTGCCCCCTTCTACAAATATTCTAGACAGACACTATTCTGGCCTGAGTCTTATTAACATAATAATTTGGACGGGTTATTCTAAAAATGCAGTACAGRTTATTATTTCCTGGTTTATTATGTTGTCTTTGCACCAGTTTAAATACTGCGCAGTTTAAGCCTCAGATTTTGTCTCAATTTCCAGCTTAAATAGTAAAAATACAAAGAAAAACAGGGCTTTTAAAAAAAAATGAAGAAAAAAAAGGTTTGTTGACAAAAGCTCTTTGTGTCTTCCATCAGGGCACAGTGGCGAGCACCGCTTCCTGTCTGCAGCTGCACAAGCGAGCGGAGCGTGTGGCGGCAGCACTGATGGGACGCCTAAACACAGGAGACCACGTGGCGCTYGTCTACCCACCAGGTAAAATGTCCGGCGGATCACACTGTCAGGTTTATTTAGACAGTTTTTCACTGGTATTTTGTCATGAAATTATTTTTAGCTAAAAGTTGTAACATTCCTGTGCAGGAATTGACCTGATTGCAACTTTCTACGGCTGCCTGTACGCCGGRTGCGTCCCTGTCACTGTCAGACCCCCACACCCACAAAACCTGGCCACCACCCTGCCCACTGTCAAAATGATCGTTGAGGTAACGCTGTTTGTTCTGTGAGCTTTGCAGCATTGATTTGGTCACACTCAGCACCGTTTTCCCACTCACTAAGCTGTGTGAATGTGACAGCTCTGCTCTGYGTTGTTTCAGCAGCTTTACAGCGGCTGTAAAGCAGTAGTTTGTGTGTGTTGCAGGTCAGTAAGTCCGTGTGTATCCTGACAACTCAAGCAATAACGAAGCTGCTGAAATCCAAAGAGGCTGCTGCTGCCGTAGACGTCAAGAGCTGGCCCACGGTCCTGGACACGGGTTAGGTTATGAACACAAACATGCTGAGTCAGTCGTTTTTGCAGTGAAACCAGTCTTTATTTCCTGCTGTTTGCCTCTCAGATGACCTCCCCAGGAAGAAGAACCCCCAAATATACAAACCCCCAACCCCAGAGATGTTGGCTTACCTGGACTTCAGTGTGTCCACCACTGGCATCCTAGCAGGAGTCAAAGTATGTGGAAATGAATAGATATTTATTATTTCTGCTCTCTCTTCAAGCTCGCTCATTTTTTTTGTCCCGTTTGTCTGTTCCAGATGTCTCACGCTGCCACAAGTGCCTTGTGTCGCTCCATTAAGCTGCAGTGTGAGCTCTATCCTTCCCGGCAGATCGCCATCTGTTTGGACCCGTACTGCGGTCTGGGCTTGGCACTCTGGTGCCTGTGCAGGTAAACGTGCAGCTCTAATCAAATAAACATAACCGAGGAGCTGAACCTCTCATTCTCTGCTTCCTTAGGTTATTTATTTTTATTTGTTTATTTTTTTGTTTTAGTGTGTACTCGGGCCACCAGTCCATCCTCGTTCCCCCTCTGGAGTTGGAGAGCAATGCATCTCTCTGGCTCACGGCCGTCAGCCAGTATAAAGTACGAGTCTCCTTCTGCTCATATTCAGTCATGGAGATGTGCACCAAGGGCCTGGGCTCACAGACAGAAGCTCTACGGGTCAGTTTGGCTTCTCAGTGGCAAAAATTTGCAACCGCAGCACTTTTCTCCACAACCCTTTGTACCCTCAGGGGTCCTCGTGCAACGTTTAGGAACTGTTGATTTGTGGGCGCATATATTTTTAACATGAACAAAAGCTGCACRCAGTTTTTATCACCTAAACTACTCTGCAACAGCAGTCTCCTGATGAGTCTTGTTTCAAAAGATYGTGAAAGTTTTTTGATTACTGAGACAATCTGTTCTTAGTGTGAAATATTTTACTGCGTTGTATTTGTGTAATATTTATTGTGTTGAGAATGGAATTGCAATTCAATTCAATTTATTTATTCATTTCATTAAAACAAAACAAATAATTTTATATACAATAAAAAGAAAAATCAGAAAAATATATATTGTATATCAAAATCACAAATAAAATGAAATGAAAGGCAGCAGAGAGAAGAAAAAATCTTATATCTGCCCCTTAATAACAAAAAAATCTGTTATTAACAAAACAAAAGACAAGAACATCTAATCCCTCTAGAACAACAATTTATATTTTTACACATTATACTGTTTTGTATTTCTTTAACAATCCAACTTTTGTCATTTTCCTAAATGTACACAATGATCCTGCATTTTTTTCATCATTGCTTCAAACAAAATCTTAGAAGTAACATAAATTTGATTTAAAAAATACATTTGAGTGGTGTTTTTCACTCCTACAGTTTAGTTTTTAGTATTTCCCTATAGGTAATAATAATTTGGCGGCATGATGRCTCAGTGGTTAGCACCGACGCCTCACAGCAAAATGGTCCTGGGTTTGATTCCCGGTTCAGACCTGGGGTCTTTCTGTGTGGAGTTTGCATGTTCTCCTCGTGCTTGTGTGGGTTTTCTCCKGGTACTCCGGTTTATGTTGCCTTCAGRCCCAGGCTGCCCTTGAAAAAGAGATGAGAGATCTCAGCGGGACTTGCCTGGTTAAATAACAGTAAGTAAATAAATAACTTTTGCTAATATCTGTSTTGTCCTCTTGTCCAGCTGCGGAACGTGAATCTGTCCTGCGTGCGCACGTGCATGGTGGTAGCAGAGGAGAGGCCTCGTATAACCCTCACTCAGACCTTCTCAAAGATCTTCAAAGACCTGGGGCTTTCACCGCGGGCTGTTAGCACCACCTTCGGCTGCAGGGTGAACGTAGCCATCTGTCTGCAGGTGAGCAGCTGGGAAAGGATAACCAGAGGGAAGGGAAGAGGGAGGTCCAAAATCAACAAACTGCTCGTGCCTAGTTCAAAAAGCGGGTCGAAGTGGAGCTTTCTGAGTGATGGTGTTATTCACACCAGCTCTGAAGAAATACAATGTGTTACATGTCAGTTATGTGTTGTTGTGTTTCCCATCTACTGTATATGAATACATATTTTTATCTGTCCTGCCCTGTCCTGTCAGCCCAACAGGTTAGGGAAACTGGCTGAGCAGGTACTGTGAGATAAGCGTGGCTCTTTGCTCTGCTGCTGGGTCTGTGTTTCTTTTCTTTTTTGTTGTACTGCATGACGTTTTGAACATGCTTCGCTTCAGTTCACGCACACTGTGTACCATCATTTGCCTTTATTTTGTCTCGGGTAAGTTTCGGCATTGCTTTTGTTTGAGTCGATTCTTCCTTGTTACCGTTTGGCTTTTAACCATCCTTTGTGAGGATTTACTGAGAACGATGAACAAACGGAATCAGCTCTGCAACGAGGACGGTCCTGAAATGTCAGATATAAACACCGGTTATTTTTATTCCATCACATGCCCTAAAATGTGACCATGTTTAGGATTTCCAATTTACAAAAGATTATTTAAAATGAGTTTTGTTATTCACCTAGACTCAAATATTACGTATTTGAAATATCAGCTCTTTTGTTGTTTTTTGACCATTTTTGTTGCTGAAACTGCTGCTTCGCTTTACGAACCGGCGTCAAACGACTCATTCAGCTAAAGGCAAAGGAGGGATGGAAAACATCATTTGCTGTGACAAGTTTTCCTGCAGTAATGATGACAAATCCAACCACAGACGGAGTCGATATCTGCTGTAGAAATACTTCAACTAAAATTCAGCTGCATGGCAGACATTTAATCAAAACATGCTGCTCAGATTTTTGACCTTTTTTGGTAAATAAGCTACAGCTGATTTGTGTTTTCCTGTGGGATTCCAGTAACTGCTGCTGTTCTCTTACGCTCGACAACACGAGAGGAGGTGGAACGTTTGTTTTTACACGGTTCAGTCGTTACTAATGTAGCCTGGCTGGTCGGCTTCTGGCTGCCTTCTGCTTCTTCAGCAGCTGTTTCATAACCAGCTCCCACCTCGTCCCCACCCAGGCAGCGTTCAGAGCTGAAACCAGGGCTGAAGCAGGTAGCTTGTGTCCAATTCTGCTTTTTTKTTTGTTTGTTTGTTTTTTGTCTCAGGGGACATCTGGACCAGATCCCACCACTGTTTATGTGGACATGAGAGCTCTACGGCATGATAGGTAGGGGGCGCTGTTGCAACATGATCAAAACGAGTCCTGTTGTTTTGCTTTATGCTTTATTTTTAAAGGAATTGAATATATTCAAACTGTTAACTATTTTCTACTTGTGTAAGTTTCTGAAACAGTTGAACTTGTCTTGGTTTCTTCAGGGTTCGCCTTGTGGAGAGAGGGTCGCCGCACAGCCTGCCACTGATGGAGTCTGGGAAGGTGAAAATGTGCACTAAAACAGGAGTTTGTGTTGTCAAAACGAACGTGATGGGCTTTTGTTAAAAATTTTTTGTGGTATTTCTGCTCGTGTAGATTCTTCCCGGAGTGAAAGTGATCATTGCCAACACAGAAACCAAAGGACCACTTGGAGACTCTCATCTAGGAGAGGTAAGTTGTTTTGAGAGCTGAATCTGTTTTGTTTTTGTCACTATCAGCCACTTTTCTGTGCACCTTTTTATTCAGAGCTGTGGTCTAAGATGTTCTGAAGAAAGTGTTCCACCACTCCCCTCAGTCCCTAAATAATTTACACTTTTGAGAAGCTAAAACTTTAACCTTTATCATAGATCATGATTTACATTTTGATCAATGGAGTAACACTGTTTTTAAACAGCATTACAGTTTGATAAGTGAAGTCTTGTTTGATCAGTTCATATTGGGCCGTGCAGTAGTATTGACACAACAAAGCTGATAATCACTTCAGTGTATGAAGTGTAAATAATTTACAAATGTGTGTGGAAAAAACACAATAAGGATTAATTGAAGGAGAGACAAATGATTCCTTTCTGAGCTTCACCACACCCTCTCTATAGCCAGCAATACACATTGATTTTAATTAACCTGACTTCTGTTTATTTTTTTGCAACTGAGTTTCAAACAAGCATTTCCAAATCTTCTATTACACACCCAATTCCTGTAATGTTCTGTTTCACACCTGTGTTAGTTAACGTTTAATTCTATTATCTGAAAAGCTGTCCAGATTAACAGACAGCTTCTTTAAAGAGATGATGCTGTTCATTTAAAGATACAAGTCATTTATTTTAATTGTTTTTTTTAAATAAAACAGTGATTTTGTTCAAATAATGTGGACATTGTGTCTAATGAATGCCCTTCAGCTAAGAATAAATACAATATTGTGTAAAAGGTAGGAGTAGAAGAGTGTGGGATTATTAACGTAGCAAACGTTCATCTTTTATTTCAAAGATCTGGGTGAGCAGTCCTCACAACGCATCAGGATACTACACGGTCTATGGGGAGGAGGCGCTGCACACCGACCACTTCAACACCAAGCTGAGCTTCGGGGACACCCAGACAGTCTGGGCCAGGACCGGATACCTGGGCTTCCTGCGGCGCACTGAGCTGACAGACGCCAGTGGAGGTGAGAGTGATGAGTGTGATTCTTTCTTTCTTTCTCTTCCTTCCTTCCTTCCTTCCTTCCTTCCTTCCTTCCTTCCTTCCTTCCTTCCTTCCTTCCTTCC